ACTCCATCTCAAAAATAAATAAATAAAAAATAAAAACTCTTCCGCAAGATTTTAAGAGCATTCTAAAATTATGATACAGAAAAGCAATCCTAAAACTACTCTGGCCAAAATGTGGATTCGAATGACCTGCCTTGAGTCCGAAGTTGCCAGGAGCTGGACCTGCAGTAGTGTGGGAGCTCACAGCCTCAATAGCGACTGCCCCCTGACCCCACCATCCAGTGATTCTAGAACATTTCTAGTAGGAAAGACACAGCAAGGGATTTTCATGATCGGGAAATACTGAGACAAACTGAAGATCTGTTAAGGGCTATGCTTTTGTCATCGTTTAGGTATTTAAGGCTACTTCTTTAGCCAGCATACTCTCAGCTGTTTAGAGTGACAATTTCCCTACACAAAGTTACCAAATTAGCATCTCTGAAAGAGAATACTACTACTCTGGATTTCCAAAGATGCACTCTAATAGGATGACCAGGCAAAAAGTGACCCGGGGGAGGAGTCTGTTATAACACCCGGACCAACGTGTTCTCAAGGCACTTCAGAACTTCGGGGAATTACTTCATACTGGATCCTCAGAAAGTACTGACGGAAATACACATCCTTTAGCAGAAGAAAGACGCTTCATGCAGGATTGACTTTAATGGCTCTTTCAGGCAACAGAGAAACCACCACATGCTCATAACATGAGCTCAGTTGTTCAGCAGGCACCCAGAGGAAGCCTTTAATTCCGAGCAGGTTTCACTAATTAGTCCTGGAGCAGGTGTGGTTTTGATATTTACCATGTGAGTGGTTAACAGCTGACTGCCTAGGAAAACCTAGGAAGGCCTGGTCCCTCTGGGTTACTGACAGCATCCACCCTCACGTTGTAACACAGCACTGGGGAGGTGTGACAAGGTTGTCCATTTTACAGCCTTGGACCACAGAAGAGAACCATTACATGCTACATTCAGACTTTTTGGCTTAGTTTTAGTATAACCTGACACTGGAAACCCATCTCCGGTCTTCATCCTCCAACTACAGGTATGGGTGTTTCCTTTTCTGTTTTTTAAAGGCCCATTAACTTCATTTAAAGGTTCCCATCCTTATGAATTACTCACTAAGGAAAACTATCCGCTCAGATTTTAGAAAAAGCAATTTACAAGATATTATTGCTGGTCCTTTATCCCTTCTCTTTAATGCAATCTCAAAGGTTTTTTGGCTATTAGTTTTCACAATTTTCTTATGTTGCACACAAAAACAAGATTCCTCTCTCTAAAATGTAGAGTATGGGGAAGACACAGATGCTGTTTTTCCAACTAAAAATGTTTACAAAGAACAGATTGTCTCAACAAACAAAAAAAACCCATCCCATTAAGCTGGGTAGGACCAGTAAGTGAAAAAAAATGTCTTCTATCGAGCATAATAAAACAGAACATGTACTTCTTGTGTTTGAACCTTACTCCTATTTAACCAAAAATTTCCCCTTTCTCATAATTTTCCCAGTATTATGTAAGGTTATGCCTAGTTCTAGATTCTGAAATACCTGCATTTTAATGCTTGCACAACCCATTTTAAATTTACAAAAGCTGCCTCTGTTTCATTTTCTGATTGAAAACACACAAAAAAAGGACAAACCAAACAAACCACACCACATCATAGAGATAATGATCCGAATGGAAAAGTTAATGTGCTGTAATGATATTTGTCTTGCAACATCACAAGCAGCAGATACTGAATAGAATTTGCTTCAATCATAAATACTGAGACTGAAATATGCACGTATAAATCAATGAACTGAAAGCTCTCTATACGTAGAAGCACATATGAAGTGCAAAACAATATCAAAAGTGAGATCTCTGGTATTTTAGTACTCCCATTCATCAGATTTCAGGTCGAGATAGCTGAGAATATTCTGGGCAAGCTTCACAGCCTGTTTCCTGGCAGCCTTACACTTCTCTTCTCCCTGCGGATCAACAGCATCCAGGGCTAGCAGCTGCTTGGTGAGCAGCTCTTCCAGCCGGATGTAGTTCTTATCGGTTCGATTTCCATCAAATGAAAGAACTTCTCCTTGGATCTCGGACAAGTTTCCAAGGACGTTCCAGACGGCTTTATGGGATGGGTGCTCCTCACAAGCAAACAGCTTTCTTTTCTCAAGGGCCTCCTTCAAGTCAATATACGTGATCAGAGTTTGCACCTCGATCACTGCTCTTCTCCTGGCTTCCCGGATGCAGGGGTTTTTTTCAAGACTTACCTCATCCAACTGTCCAATTAAACCCTGCAATTCTGTTTTGGAGCTCAGGTACAATTCAGGAGGGTTTTGTGCTTGGAGAAGTTCATTTTTTATTTCTCTCATTCTCGTGAGGACCTTTTCTATTTTTAAAATGGAATGATTCTGTCTCAGGTCAAATGCTTTAGTCGTGTCTGCTTCCTCTTCCAAATCCAGATACTTCAATAATTTGTTGATATCTTCTACTACCTCCCTCCGATAATTTCTGATTTCTGTCCGGCCGCACACATCTAGAGCATCTAGGTCGGCGATCAGCCCTGAGAGCACACAGGATAAGTGCCTGCAGGTCTCACTGTTGTTCACGCCCATCAGAAGTGCAATCAGGACCCCTCGGGCCTTGTTCACCTCACACATCACAAAGTTGATTTTGGCCACGGAAGGATGTGCATCCTCGGAAAGCGGCAGGGAAGGCTGCTTTTTCATGCAGTCTTCGATAATCTCTTGCACCGCACAGATTTTGGTTAAAGTGTGATACCTTGCTTTCCGCAAGGAGATTTTTCCTCCAGTTTTAACATGTGTCAGCCTCAGAATGATATCCTGGATGCCTTCTTCAAACTCGTCAGTTACGCAGTTGCCTCCATTATAAAATGGCACAATTTTCTCTCTAACGAGGGACTGGGCTTCCTCAAAAATGTTCTGTATTTCAATCCGGTGTGGGTGGTTTGCATTCTGCTCCAACTCTTTGAGAAGACGTTCTGTCTCCTGTGCTGCCCTCTTCCTAGCTTGCTGAATATCTCCTTTTCCTTCAGTATCTACAGAGTCTATTTCAAAAAGTTGTTTTGTTAGAATCCTCTCCAGTTTCTTGTAATTCTTGTCATCTGACAGACCACTGAAGCCGACAACTTGCTGTTCTACACTTTTTACTTCCTTTTGGATTTCCTGAAGCCTACTAATAGAAGGATGTTGGTTTCCCATATCCATACTTTTGTTGTGTTCAGTTTCACAAGCACTAAAAGATGACAAGAATAACTTATTACAGCACAAGGCTTCTGCAGAACACTAATGGTATACTAAGTCATTCTAAAATTCTCATTTTAAAAAGGCATACTTTCGAGCAGTCATCCCCCCTCAGCCTCCCCAGTAGCTGGGACTACAGGCGTACACCACCACGCCCAGCTACTGTTACTATTTTTAGTAGAGACAAGTCTCACTATATTGCCCAGGCTAGTCTCAGACGATCCGCCCGCCCCCGCCTCTCAAAGTGCTGGGATTAAGGTGTGAGTCACCGTACGCCGCACAAACTGTTTGGAACCGGCAGGGCACCTTTATGCAAGGTGAAACAGTAGCTCTTGTAACCTTCCGAACACTAACAGTACCCCGCCCCGCCACACAGCTATGCCTAGTTTCCAGAAACTCTAAGCAAAATAAACTGAACCAGTAGAACAAAAACCAGTGGCTCTCAGATATCCCCAAGTTCCCGCTTCTTCGTTTCTCTCCATCCCTTTGTGCACTTCCCCTCCCCACCCTTTTAGCTCCTCACACATCTTCCCTCCCAGATGTCTCCCTGAAGAGATAAAAACCCCACAGCTAAAGAAGAGCGACGGGGATTGCGCTGAAGGGCACCACCTTGGGCTTTCGAGGCCCAGCACCTCCTCGGCCCCCAACATGCTCCACTGTCTCAAAAAACTACAACCTGCGAAAATGTGGTAACTGAATAATTCATTCACTCGCCTCCCACTGAGAGTCCACAATCGCCTAATGCACGTTTCAAGCTCTTGGTTTCTATCAAACGGCTCGCTCAAGGTGGGTAACCAATGGAAACGCATCATCCATCCCCTGTGGATGTTCTGGAGGCCACGGAGGGCAGGCGGCCCGAGTTCCTTCCTCCCCGCCTCGCCCTTCCCTCTTGGCTCTTTACCCAGAAGAGGTCTGAGCTGGCTGCGATCTTGGCGTCCCGTGGCTGAGGTGGCGAGGTGGAAGATCAGCCCTTTACGGGGTGCGGCACCGGAGCTGGGCCCCCAGCTGCATCCCTCGCGCCCCTCCCGACTAGGTCTGAGCGGGGCAGCCGGTGAAGGGGCCGGCGGTGAAGGGGCCGCTACTGGCTGCAGCAGCCGCTCCGGGCGTCTCGGCCTAGGTGCCAGGGCGCGCCCGCAGGCCCTGACCTCACAATGGGCGCGCGAGGGGCCCTCGGCCCGGCCGGGGGAAGCCGGGGAAGGAGGGGAGCCAAGGCCCCGCCGGAGACACCAGAGACCAGGCCCGACCACCCCTGGACAGCGTCCGAGCCAGGGACGGGGACGGCGCCGAGACCAACTCTGCTCGGCCTGTGCCGACAGACCGCGCTGGGGTGGGCGCTGGCGGAGAGGTGGTCCAGCAGGGAGCCCCGCGCGGACGGGGGGCCCCACTCGTCCCCCCGACGGAGGGAAAAAGCCATACGCCGCGCTTCGCTCACCTGTCCCGCCCGCGCCATCGCGCGATGCGTCGCCGACGCTTCCACGACTTCCGCAGCTCCGGCCGTCGCCCGGGCCAGCCAGCCCACGCCCCTGGCCGAACACCCCTAAACCCGGGGACACCTCCTCCGGCGTCCGCGCCTAGCCGCCGACAGCGCCAAGCCCACCGCCAGTGGCGCAGCAAGGCAACCTGGAGTGACAGCGACCAAGGAGCGGCCGCCCGGGTCAGCCCGCGCCGCCCGCCGCTCCCGTAGCCCGTCGTACCGCGGGGAAAGCGCACGGTCGGCCGCACCGCCGCCCTCCCTCGGGCTTCGCGACCCTGCCGTAAAGCGGCCTCTCGCGCCGTCGCAATGCTGCCGTGCGCCGCGGGAGCCAGGGGGCGTGGGGCCATGGTGGCCTTGCGGGCGGGGAAGAAGAGTCTTCTCCGCGGTCTCAGCCGCTCCTTCGTCTGCCGCGGCTGTCAACTCGCTCCGGAGCGCGGCGCCGAGCGCAGGGATACGGCGCCCAGCGGCGTAAGCAAGCGCCTGGGGATATTGGGCCGGGAGGGGTGACCGGAAGGAAAGACAAACCGGGGCCTCGGGGCAGCTGCCTGCCGTGCACAGCCGCCTCAGGCCTTTCTGCAGGTGCGCTCCCGTCCTATCCCGAACAGTCCCGCAGCCCCAAGGCTTCCGCGTCGGGGCTCTCGGTCGGATGGGACTGAGGGTGCCGCCGCCACGCCAGAGACTGTTGACAGCCAGAACCTTTAAGCGTAAGAGTCACCTGGCAAGTTTGTAGCTACCTTATTTGTTCCCGAGAATGATTATTTTTTATATTTAAAGAGCTCTTGGCTTAGCGTGCATTTTTTTTTCGTGGTTTTGTGTGTGTGTGTGTGTGTGTGTGTGTGTTTTGGCTTTGTTAAAATTATTAGAGCTTTTATTCAAGCGGTGAACACTTTATACTTTATCATCGTACTTTTGTAGCACTTCACGTTCATTAGTTGTTCTTATTTGCAAACTATGTGTGGGTATATGCATGTTACTGGCCAAAGATCCGCAAAGAATGTCTGTAGCAAGAAAGAGTGGCAAGCAATTTTTATAAGTCATACTTTTGGGAGGGATGTTTTGTTTAAGGGAGGCCTAGGCCTTGATTCCATCTGTCAGATGAAAATGTTGGCTAACGGTGTGGAATGGGCTGGAGATAAAATATTCAAGCAAAGCATGCAAATACCAAACAGGCTAATGAAGGAGGCTGGAAAACTTGGTTTAAACAATAATTAGGCCGGGCGCGGTGGCTCAAGCCTGTAATCCCAGCACTTTGGGAGGCCGAGACGGGCGGATCACGAGTTCAGGAGATCGAGACCATCCTGGCTAACACGGTGAAACCCCGTCTCTACTAAAATACAAAATACAAAAAAAAAAAAAAATTAGCCGGGCGAGGTGGCGGGCGCCTGTACTCCCAGCTACTCGGGAGGCTGAGGCAGGAGAATGGCGTGAACCCGGGAGGCGGGGCTTGCAGTGAGCTGAGATCCGGCCACTGCATTCCAGCCTGGCCAACAGAGCCAGACTCCGTCTCAAAAAAAAAAAAAATAAATAAACAATAATTAAAGAAGTGTAAAAAAGAGCTAATTAAAAATTGTTCGGGCTCCCTGGCTCACACTTGTAATCCTAGCACTTTGGGAGGCCGAGGCGAGCAGATCACGAAATCAAGAGGTGAGACCATCCTGCCCAACATGGTGAAACCCCGTCTCTGCTAAAAATACAGAAATTAGCTGGGCGTAGTGGCGCACGCCTCTATAGACCCAGCTAGCTACTCGGGAGGATGAGGCAGGAAAATCGCTTGAACCCGGGAGGCGGAGGTTGCAGTGAGTGGAGATCGCACCGCTGCACTCCAGCCTGGCGACAGAGGGAGACTTCATCTCAAAAAAAAAAACAAAAAAAAACTAATTAAAAATTGCAAATGTACTTGCTTGTACATTTTCATTTCTGTTGGGCTGTGGCTGTTAGCACACTTTTATAATTGTAGCTTTGAAGGTCTGTTTAGTTTGCAATTTAAACAAGAAGTTACCAGGGCAACTTGTCAACCAGACACCCAAGTGGCTGACTCAGTTCTGTGTTACAGTGGCCAAGCCCTTGCCTTCTATTCCTAGAACATAGAAACCCACCCAGCATCTCCGTCTTTGGGCAGAGAGATACAGCAGGTGTCTAAAAATGCTCTAAGAGAGCCAACTGGAAATCAACCCAGACATTTCCCAGGGGGAGGATTTTCCCTAGCTTATTTTGTGAACTTGTGCTGGAAAGAAACAACAGCACCCGAATAAGGATTTCTCCATTCTCATATAGACTTCTTCTTTTTTTTTTTTTTTTTGGAGGCGGAGTTTCCCCCTGTTGCCCAGGCAGGAGTACAGTGGCCTGATCTCAGCTCACTGCAACCTCTGCCTCCTGGGCTCAAAGGATTCTCGTGCCTCAACCTTCCGAGTAGCTGGGATTACAGGCGCCCACCGCCATGCCCGGCTAATTTTTTTGTGTGTTTTTAGTAGAGAGAGGGTTTTACCTGTTGGCCAGGCTGGTTTCGAACTCCTGACCTCAAGTGATCCGCCTGCCTAGGCCTCCCAAAGTGCTAGGATTACAAGTGTGAGCCACCATTCTCGGCCTTAGACTTCTTGTTAAAGTAAAAAAAGTCTTACCATGGGTCTGTTCTCAAGCTGAGAGACCTCTCTGCCTTCTTTGTTTTTTCTTTTTTCGAGATGGAGTTTTTGCTCTGTTGCCCAGACAGGAGTGCAATGGCACAGTCTCGGCTCACTGCAACCTTCGCCTACTGGGTTCAAGCAGTTCTCCTGCCGCAGCCTCCCGAGTAGCTGGGATCACAGGCGCATGCTGCCACGCCTAATTTCTTAATTTCTTTTTTCTTTTTTAAGTAGAGATGGGGTTTCACTATGTTGGCCAGGCTGGTCTCGAACTCCTGACTTCAGGTGATCCACCCGCCGCAGCCTCCCAAAGTGCTGAGATTACAAGTGTGAGCCACCGTGCCCAGCCAGCACCAGCTTTTAATTGAGAAACATTACAGAACGTAAGAGTCAGGCACCATTCTTCCTTCCAAATCCATCTTTAAAACTCAGCTTTTCAGAAATATAACTGCTTTTGGTAAAGAAAAAAAAATTAGACTTTTAAATTCTGTTCCCTAGCCACTTCATGCCTGCTTATGTCTTACCTATGTAGTTTGCATCACTGGTTCCTAAACTTGTTTGCACATAAGAATTAGTCTGACTCTTTCAGTTCTTTTTTTTCTTTAATCTGGAAGTTCCCAAACCAGAATTGGTTCAGACATACTCCCTTTTAGTTCTTTTTTAATCCATAGGTTCTGCCTCCATCACCTCTCCACCTTTTTTTTTTTTTTTTTTTTTTTTTGAGATGGAGTCTCACTCTGTCACCCAGGCTGGAGTGCAGTGGCATGATCTCAGCTCACTGCAACCTCCACCTCCTGGGTTCAAGCTATTCTCCTGCCTCAGCCTCCCGAGTAGCACCTCCTCACCTTTTTTTTTTTTTTTTTTAAAAGCAATTTATTTGGAGAGGGGATCACATGTCCTTTAAAACTTCCTACAGTCTGGATTTTGCTGATTGTGTCTCCATGGTGTAATTTAGCATGTTTCTCTGACCTCTTTCTTGTAAATTGACAGCTATATTCTAGAACTTTGACCACATCCAGATATTTTTTTTTGTTTTTTGAGACAAAGTCTCACTCTGTCACCCAGGCTGGAGTGCAGTGGCGTGATCTCAGCTCACTGCAACCTTCACCTCCCAGGTCCAAGCAGTTCTGCCTCAGCCTCCCGAGTAGCTGAGATTACACATGCCTACCACCACGCCCGGCTAATTTTTATATTTTTTGTAGAGACAGAGTTTCATCATGTTGGCCAGGCTGGTCTTGAACTCCTGACCTCAGGTGATCTGCTCATCTCAGCCTCCCAAAGTGCCGGGATTACAGGTATGAGCCACTGTGCCTGGCCCAAAGTCACTTTTAGCTTCAAAAATGAGCTGTAGGGTATACCTTCTTTTTCTGTTTCTGTGGATTGTTTACTAAGGTTTGAATTTTTCTGTGACTGGTAGAACCTACAAGTCATTTGAACTAGAGTTTTCATAAGAACAGGTCATTTTAACCCCATCTTCTTTTTGGTTAGAGTTACTAAACTGGTAAATAAGAGTGATCCGGCCAGGCATCGTGGCTCACACCTTGCCAGCACTTTGGGAGGCTGAGGCAGGCAGATCACCTGAGGTCAGGAGTTCAAGACCAGCCTGGCCAACATGGTGAAATCCTGTCTCTACAAAAATACAAAAATTAGCCGGGCATGATGGCGGTACCTGTAATCCCAGCTACTTGGGAGGCTGAGGCAGGAGAAATGCTTGAACACAGGAGGCAGAGGTTGCAGTGAGCTGAGATCGCGCCATTGCACTCTAGCCTGGGCGATGGACCAAGACTCCTTCTCAAAAAGAAAAAAAAAAAAAAAGAGTGATCCATTGCATATTGATTTAAGCAAGACATCTGATAAAGTCTCTTATGTATTTTTGAAAACCATGTCCTGTGTTATGGTGCTTGAAACACCAATGGAAACATTTGTCTCAGGGTGGTTCGTATTTCCTGCACAGGTTCTTCACGAGGTGCCAGTGATACAGAAATGAATGTGTGTGCCTCTTTTCACACATGCACAGATGGCTCTCCAGGCAGGAGCTCTGCATGCTAACACATGCCTCCCTGGTGCCTAGAGCGGTGCTTGTCCTTTGCATGGTGGCGCAGGTACAGACAGGTTGATGCTTATGGAGAAAGGCTGAATCCGCTATGCCCATTTTGGGAATCTGTTGGAAGTTAATTGTTTGCAGCTCCAGGCAGGGTGGTTCCCAGGGGAGCACCACCCTGGGCCTGCCTGCTGGGCACATAACTTCTGAGAGGAGGAGGGCTGGAACAAGCCCACAGATAATGATCTTTTTCCCTTTTTTGGAGATAAGGTCTTGCTCTGTTGCCCAGGCTGGAGTGAGCAGTGGCACAAACACAGCTTACCACAGCCTCAACCTCACTGGCTCAAGTAATCTTCCTGCCTCAGCCTCTTTAGTAGCTGGGGCTACAGGCACGTGCCACCACACCTGGCTGATTTTTAAAAATTTTTTGGCAGGGCGCGGTGGCTCACGCCTGTAATCTCAGCACTTTGGGAGGCCAAGGAGGGTGGATCATCTGAGGTCAGGAATTCAAGACCAGCCTGGCCAACATGGTGAAATCCCATCTCTACTAAAAATATAAAAATTAGCTGTGCGTGGTGGCACATGCCTGTAATCCCAGCTACTCGGGAGGCTGAGGCAGGAGAATCGCTTGAACCCCGGAGGCAGAGGCTGCAGTGAGCCGAGAACACACCACTGCACTCCAGCCTGGCCAACAGTGCGAGACTCCATCTCAAAAAAAAAAAAAAAAAAATTTGTGTAGCTTTGCACAGCAGCAGTGTTGTAGCCAATGAGATTTATCCGAGGTGTGATTATTGCTAATTGAAAACTTT